AATGTACACCTGAAACTAATTTAACACTGTATGCTAACAATACTGGAATTAAAAAATAGAGGGGCGCCTGGGTGGCTCAGTTGGTTAAGCAACTGCCTTCGGCTCAGGTCATGATCCTGGAGTCCCAGGATCGAGTCCCGCATCGGGCTCCCTGCTCGGCGGGGAGTCTGCTTCTCCCTCTGACCCTCTTCCCTCTCGTGCTCTCTATCTCTCATTCTCTCTCTCTCTAATAAATAAATTTTAAAAATTAAAAAAAAAGTAGAAATCATCAGCGGGAGGCATAACTAAACTAGTCTTTAAGAATGAATATTTGGCAGGGGGGGGGGCACCTGAGTGGCTCAGTCAGTGAAGTGTCCAACTCTTTTTTTTTTTTTAAAGATTTTATTTATTTATTTGACAGAGAGACAGCGAGAGCAGGAACACAAGCAGCCAGAGTGGGAGAGGGAGAGCAGGCTTCCCACCGAGAAGGGAGCCCAATGCGGGGCTTGATCCCAGGACCCTGGGATCATGACCTGAGCCGAAGGCAGCCGCTTAATGACTGAGCCACCCAGGCGCCCCAAAGCATTCAACTCTTAGTTTCAGCTCAGATCATAATCTCAGGGTTGTGAGATCGTGCCCCGCCTCAGATTCCATGCTGAGCGTGGAACCTGCTTAAGATTCTCTCTCCCTCTCTCTCTCTGCCCCTTCCCCCCAATCCACACTCCCTCTCTCTCTCTTAAAAAAAAAAAAGATTATTTGAATGATAAACTTATAAAGAAAATAAGGACTTGATTCCCAAAGAGGTCAGAACAGAGGTTACTTTTGAGGAGTTTGAGAGGGTTGTGATTAGGATGGCTCTCTGGGGTAGCTGACAAAATTTTAGCTTTTTTTTTTTTAAGATTTTATTTATTCATTTGAAAGAGACAGAGAACGAGAGCAGGAACACAAGCAGGGGGAGTGGGAGAGGGAGAAGCAGGGAGCCTGATGTGGGGCTTGATCCCAGGACCCTGGGATCACAATCTGAGCCGAAGGCAGACGCTTAACGACTGAGGCACCCAGGTGCCCGAAAATTTTAGTTTTTTAACCTACTTTGCAACCTACATGGTTGGTTACAAGTGTATTTGCCTCACAACAATTCCTTAAGCTATATATTTGCTTTCTGCAGTTTTCTGCATCTGTTCTTTTTTTTTTTTTTTAAGATTTCATTTATTTGAAAGAGACAGAGGCGAGAGCAGGAACACAAACAGGGGGAGTGGGAGAGGGAGAAGCAGGCTTCCCGCAGAGCAGGGACCCTGAAGCAGGGCTCGATCCCAGGACCCTGGGATCATGACCTGGGCCGAAGGCAGACGCTTAACCAACTGAGCCACCCAGGCGCCCTCTGCATCTGTTCTATTTTTAAATAAAAGTTTTTTAAAAGAAAAAAAAAAAAGGCGTGGGGCCAGACGTGGTATTAGAGAAGATGGGGACCAAGAATGCAAAGCCCACAGCTTTGAGCCCTTGTTCCCAGTTTCTGTCAGAGGAGAAGCTGCACTACCGTAGTGCTCGAACCAAGGAGCTGGATGCATTGCTGGGGGACCTGCACTGTGACATCCGGGGTGAGGAGAAGCAAAAGGTTGGAGGGGCGGGCAGCTTGGGGTATCTCAGACTCTATCTGCAAGCCTGTTTCCAGGTCTCTGCTGGCTTCTTTGTCTCTTCCTTTTCCCATGGAGCTGATGCCCAGCTCCCTCCCTCCCCCACCCCCAGACCAGGAGACCCTGTTGATGTACCAGCTGCAGTGTCAGGTACTGGCACGGGCTGCTGTCTTGACCCGGGTGTTGGACCTTGCCGCCCGCCTGGACGTCCTGCTGGCTCTTGCCAGTGCTGCCCGGGACTATGGCTACTCAAGGCCCCGTTACTCCCCCCAACTCATTGGGGTCCGAATCCAGAATGGCAGGTGAGAACAGAAGGGGGTGGAGGCATAGACACCAGGGGCCCAAAGGCCCCATCTTCTGGTGGCTTCATTAGTCTGCATTCAGAGGCCACGTGTGAGGTACCTTTCTACCCACTGCAGACATCCCCTGATGGAACTCTGTGCCCGAACCTTCGTGCCCAACTCTGCAGAATGTGGTGGGGACAGAGGGAGGGTCAAAGTCATCACTGGACCCAATTCCTCAGGGAAGAGCATATACCTCAAACAGGTGAGGAGAGTCCCTGCACACTGGGCCTCTGGCATCTTCTTCATTGTCTCCATCTCCCACCTGCCTGCAAACACAGGTCCCTGCAGCTCCTCCCTGGTGTTCTGACCCCGACCTGTCATGGAAAGACCATCGTGCACACATGTTCTCTCTACTTGAGGCAGAGCCGTGCTCTAACAGATCCCTCTGTGGCCTGATAGCCTCTCCCCACCTCTGAACAGGGCCGTGCTGCTCCCAAGTGTGCCTCTGTCCACTCTCCCGCCCTCTTTCCTGATTCTAAAGAGAGCTGAGGGGGCTATCCTCTCCTATTAAATTGTGTCCGCCCCTCCTTGATCTATAATTCACCCCTCAGCCTTGCCTAACCCCCAGGCCGGACCACACCACCAGGCCCAAGACCCTGTCTCCTCCATGTTTAGGTAGGCTTGATCACATTCATGGCCCTGGTGGGCAGCTTTGTGCCAGCAGAGGAAGCCGAAATTGGGGCTGTAGACGCCATCTTTACCCGAATCCACAGCTGTGACTCCATCTCCCTGGGCCTCTCTACCTTCATGATCGACCTCAACCAGGTCAAAGGGAGCAAAGGGCGGTGGGGCTGCGGGAGGGTGTTCGTGCGGAAGGAACTCTATTCTCGAAAAATGATCAGAACAAGAAAACCATTCTGTCTGCTGCATGCCTTCTATATTAGGGGCAGGGAGCACCGAGTTCAGACACTGGGAGAATCAATACCATGAACCTTTACTGAACCTTTGCTTTGCATGAGGCACTGTTGGCAATGAAAGGATGAACAAAACACGAGTCTTGCCATTAGTGCACTTGCAGTCCAGTAGGGTGGACACACACACAAGCAGCTTTACTCACAGGCACACTGTGGTCAGTGCATTGCAGGCCTTGAACACTACTGAAACGCTCCCTTGTCCACCTGGTGCCCAGCAGGTGGCGAAAGCAGTGAACAATGCCACCAAGCAGTCTCTGGTCCTCATTGACGAATTTGGAAAGGGAACCAACACGGTAAGGAGACAAGCTGATGAGAAACTGAGGAGGGGGAAGTGGTGGGGAGGCTCAGGAGAGGAATAGGGGGTATGTAGGCAGAAAAGAAACAGAAAAGTGCAAGATGGGGATGGCTAGGGCAGGTGGAGAGGTGCACACGGGGGCACCTGTGGTTCAGTACCCTCACCCCTGCCCTGTGCGCAGGTGGACGGGCTCGCGCTTCTGGCCGCTGTCCTGCGACACTGGCTGGCACTTGGACCCACGTGCCCTCACATCTTTGTGGCCACCAACTTTCTGAGCCTTGTTCAGCTCCAGCTGCTGCCACAAGGGCCCCTTGTGCAATATTTGGTAAGGATACCAATCTAGCCCTCTGGGGCTCCCTAGGAGGAGCATTTACCAGAACCCAGAACAGGCTCCTCAGAACAGAGGCATCCTTCCTGTTTCTCACTCCCCACAGGGATTGGTCAAGGGTTTCAGGGCAGGATGCAGAGTGACTCATGACACACTGTCCCCTTCTATCTCTTTTAAGACCATGGAGGCCTGTGAGGATGGGGACGACCTAGTCTTCTTCTATCAGGTGTGTGAAGGTATTGCCAAGGCCAGTCATGCCTCCCACACAGCTGCCCAGGCTGGGCTTCCTGACCAACTCCTTACTCGTGGCAAGGAGGTGAGATCCAAAGGTCAGACACCTCCATCAGGGCTCCCTACCGTTGTCCCTACTCCTCTCAGGGGCCTGGGTTTCTGGGTCCATGGGATTTCTGACCCTTATTTCCAATTCTCTTACCCAACTCCCCCACCCCCACTTCTTGTTGCTAGGTCTCAGACTTGATCCGCAGTGGGAAACCTATCAAGCCTGTCAAGGAGTTGCTAAAGGAGAAGCAAATGGAAAAGTGAGTGTGTGTGGCCCAGTGTCCTGGTTCTTTCCAGCATGTTCTGCGGCTCTTCTCCCCCTTTCAGGGATCCTGACAGCCTCTTTGACCTTCAAAGACCCAGGATTTGTTTCGAAATCCCTAAATTTTCCTGGGTTCCCTGTGCCACAGCCTCTCCCCTCTGCCTGGGGACTCAGTTTTCCATTCTGCCATAAACCCTGCTGTCCTGTCTCCCCTCAGTTGCCAGACATTAGTAGATAAATTTCTGAAACTGGATCTGGAAGATCCCAACTTGGACCTGGACCTTTTCATGAGTCAGGAAGTGCTGCCTGCTGCCACTGCCATCCTTTGAGAGCCCCTCCTTGGCCCTCCTCCACCTCTACCTGTTTCCTCACCTTCCCCAGATGCAGAACTCAGCTTTCCTGGAAATTTTGTTTCATATTAGGAATAAAGTTTACTGCAGAGAAAGTTATTGTTTCTTTAGACCAGCCAATACAAAACAAAAGACTAAGAACGAGATGAAACACCAAGCAAAAGTCCACAGAGGGGCCTGCCCTGCCTCATTAAACACACAGGGACGTGGGGTGCCTGGCTGGTGCAGTCGGGAGTGCGCGACTCGTGATCTCGGGGTCGTGGGTTCGAGCTTCACGTTGGGTGTAGAGATTACTAAAAATAAATCAACTTAAACACACACACACAGTGACACTGCTGTAGGGAGACCCTTGGGTCCCACCCAGGGGGACGTCACGAGGACCAGCCCTTTCAACAGACCCTACAAAAGCAGATGAGAAGGAAGACAGAGAAACCCAACAGAGACGATCTTTCCCCTAAGTAGGAACACCCCAGCCTCAGACAGACACAGCAGAAAGGGCCCCGGGGGGGGGGCGGGCTGGAAAAGAAGGTAGGACGCGCACAGGGCAGGAGGGGGGCGGAGGGGAGGAGCCAGCCCAGGCGCCAGTGGGCGTGGCTCCGCCCTTCCCACCTCGGAGCCATGGGGAGCCAGGGGCCTGGCGGGCCGCCCCGCGGCGGGGCTCCCTACACGGTTCTGCTGCTGCCACTGGGGACAAGCCGCCGGCACCCAGGGGCCCGGAGCTTCTTCCTCTGGGTGAGTATTAGTCCAGCAAGAGGTCCCAGGGAAGCCCACTCCCTGGATCTGCCCCTACATTTCCCCTCAATTTTGAGGACCCATAAGTCTTCTCCCCTGCCTCCCCTGCCCTCCAGGTGCTCAGTGGTCAGTCTGGGCTCACACTCCGTGACCAGACAGTGAACCCAGCCAAGGGTTGTGACGAAGGGCCACGGCCCAGAGCCCTGCTGTGGAGCAAGTCAGCCTCCGCTTCTTGCCTTCCCAGCTGCAGAGGATGCAGGCTCTGGAGAGGGAGCAGGACGCCCTGTGGCAGGGGCTGGAGCTGCTGGAGCGCGGCCAGGCCTGCTTTGAGGGCCGTCTGAGGGAGGCACTGCAACAACAGCAGCACCTAGGGGCTCTTGGTGAGGTACGGGGCTGCTGTGTGGTGTGCGGGAGCAGGGACATGTGGACAGCCTGACACCACCCTGGGAAGGCCAGAGTTAACGGGCAGGGATCATGAACTGGAAGCAGCATTGTAATGACTGGATGCCACCAAGCAGTTAGGTTGGTGTTCATTGTTGGGATTGGAGGGGGCCGGTCTGCATTCCATTCAGAGGACCATGGTTTGGATCACCCCATTGAGATGGGGGAGTGGCCTGGATTATTCCAATGGGTTAGGACTAGACAGGGAGGATCCATAAAGAATAAGGAAGGAAAGGGGTACTGTGCTATTTGAGGGGGATAGAAGAACTGGATTTCAAAGAGATGGGAGTGGAGAGTATCTGATTTTTCCAGCTACCTTGAGGGCTATTGAGATGAGGGGACCCAGATGGAGAAGAGGTATGGCCTGTGGTGACAGAAAGAGTGGCAGATGGACCTCACCATGTTTTCACCATGTTGTCAGCCTCCAACTCCTCCTTTAGAATTTTCTAACAGATTTACACTCAGAGCCTCATGGCCCCCAGTTAGCCCAGATTCAAAAGGTGAACATGTGTTTGCAGAATCTGATTCAGAAGGTGAGTTATTGTTTTTCGTTTAGACTTTTGGGAAGTGAGGGAAGAGAGGGGACTTGGGATCAACACTGGTTTAACAGAAAAAAGCAAATCCTGCCCTTCCCCCCCCCCCCCAGTTCTCCCCACATCCCTTAAATAAGGCTAGTTCCTGTCCTGCCCAGGACTGGAAGGGAAGGCCAAGGAAGCAGAACTTACGGCAGCAACAGGTAAACTGTAGGGGAGTGGGGGGGAGGGCGGAAGCCCTGGGCCCACGCGGGGGGCGGGGCAGCACAGATGCCCACACTGTTTCTCTCCTTTCTCCAGGAGTTGTCGAGGCAGCAGAAGGGAGGCATTCAGCCAAAAGGCGAGACCACTCAGCCGGGCTGCCCCAAGATGCAGAGGGGCCCAACCCATGTATAAAGCCTCCTCTGGGTTTCCTCATTTGGTGAGGGGGGAGGCTGACTCAGAAACCCCAGTCTCCTCATTCTGCCTCTTGACTTAACAGATAAATGGCTCCAGGTGGTGGGTCAACTGAAGTCCAAACATCTTGATGTAAAGTTTCTTCTCTGCAACTGAAAACTTCCATTTCATCTTCTCGGTGTCTTATGCCTTCACTCTCCCTTATATGATATGCATAAATGATCTTTCTTTGAAATCCGTCTCTAGAGAAGACATGTTTATTGAAACTGTCCTTCAACTTTATTTTTTTTAAGATTTTATTTATTTATTTGAGAGAGAGAGAATGAGAGATAGAGAGCATGAAAGGGAAGAGGGTCAGAGGGAGAAGCAGACTCCCCGCAGAGCAGGGAGCCCGATGCGGGACTTGATCCAGGGACTCCAGGATCATGACCTGAGCCGAAGGCAGTCGCTTAACCAACTGAGCCACCCAGGTGCCCTGTCCTTCAACTTTAAATACAAAAATAAAATAGGGGCTTCTTCAGAATTTCAAATAAGAACAATTCTATAAATAAACCCCACTCCCAACCTTAGTCTCCTCCCCATACATCTTTACTTCTACCTGAGCTTAGGAAAGCATGAATAAATAGTGGAATGAAGAGATGCTGTGGAGAGATAGGAACCAACTTTCTCCACAAAGAGGTATTTGGTTTGGTTCCCACCAGGGTTAGAGAAAGTGCACTGTGGGAAAATCCATTGCCTTCTATCCCAATCTCACTAAGAAAGAGAGGGACAAGTGCATGAGAGAGAAAACCTCCAGCTGAGAGAGGTGGGGTCCTGAGGCCCATGTTACCTTCTCACCAAAGGAGCAGGATTGAAAATAGCTCTGGAGACCCATCCCTCCTGTGTCACCAGGAGGCCAGGCCTAGCAGAAGCAGCACCCCTCCAACTGTGCCCCACCAGGGGCTGCCTACCCGCCCTCCCCCCGCCCTTCCCCGAGTCACCAAAGTGGAGGCAGGGCTGGTTGAGGCGAGGATGGGGCCAGATGGAGTGGGCAGGGGCGGCTAGCGGGTCCTGCAGAGAAGGGGGAGACTGTCAGGGTGTCTGTACCCAAATTAAGCCTACAGCGCCCTCCCCTTAGCTTGCGTGGTCTGCAATGGGAATGGGGGTGCCTCACCTGCGGGGCCGGGCCCAGCACCAGGAGCCAGAGGAAGGTGTGGGTCGGGGGCACTGGGCTGGCCTTGCGACCTGTCGTGGTCACAGTCACCGTCACTACGGAGTCTGGCGCGGCTGAGTCCGGGACCTCCAACCATAGGCGTCCCCCGGCGGACTCATTCGGTTCCAGGCGAACCCTGCCAAGTGGACACAGACACCCAGCTGAAGGCCCGGGCTCCGAAGAGCTGAGAGCCGAGGGTCCGAGGGTCCGAGGGTCCCAGCCAAGCGCTGGCAGGGAGGCGAGGTGAGGCGAGACTCTAAGCGCCCATCGGAGGGGGCCGCTGTAGGCGGGGCTTAAAGCATCAGACTCCCAAGCCCGGGAACCGAAAGGTGGGCCAGAACTGAGCAGGAGGGTTCGGGGGAGAGGTTGGAGGTGAGAGGGAAGCTGGGGCTGACAGATGGCCTAAGGTCGAGATCCTGAGGGCCCGAGAAGCTGGCGATGCGGAGGCTGAGCCTGACTTTGCTGCCCGGAGCCAGGAACCCCGGGGGGCCGCCGAGCTGCGGAGGAGGAGGGCGGAGGGCGTGTCAGGGTAGGAGCTGCTGCGGCTCTCTCGGGGCCCCACGCGCACCTTCCCCTGGCGTCTCGCCTCCAGAAGCACCGGGACCATGGTGCAGGGCTGGGGCGGCCGCTCGGTGCGGGCCCCGCCTCTCTCCGTCCAGGCCGACCAGCTCGAGAGAGAAGGGTCGCGCGGTGGACAGAAGCGCGGGCGGCAGCGAGGCCGCGAGGACACCTCGCTTCCGCGGTCCCGTGGGCTCCAGAGGCACCCGGCCCCGCTCGGCACCCTCCGGGACCCCTCGAAGGACGGACGTGGGAGAAATGTGGCCGAGGATCTCCGGGGTTGCCTCGGGAGCCCAGCCCTGTCACCTCTACCAGCAGCTGGGTCTGGAGGCCTGGGACAGGGGCCGGGAGGGGAGAACGATGGTCCGCAGGAGATTCGGAGACAGGGAGAAGAAAACAAATGGCTTTTGGAATAGGGGTTACCCCTGAGGAGTATGGATGGAGGAAAGGGGCTACGTCTGAGGGATATTGTTGGGCAGCGTCAGGAAAGATTCTGGGATGCTGGAAATGTTCTAAATCTTGGACGGAGGATGGTTACATGGGTGCATTATATGCAATCCATCCAGTGTGTACTTCAGTTTGGTGCACTTCATTAAATATGTTATAACTCAATAAAAATTTAAATATATAATTATATATATAATATATAATGGGGGCACCTGGGTGGCTCAGTTAAGCATCTGCCTTTGGCTCAGGTCATGATCCCGGGGTCCTGGGATCAAGCCTCGCATTGGGCTCCTCGCTCAGTGGGGAGCCTGCTTCTTCCTCTCCCTCTGCCCCTCCCCACCACTTGTGCTCTCGCTCGTGCTCTCTCTCTCTCGAAAAACTAAATAAAATCTTAAAAAAAAATAATAATGGGCAAGTTGGGGCAGGGGGATAGATATACCTGCAACTGGCTGAGTCAGGGGGTAGAGGCCAGGGTGGGGGCCATCCTCCATGGGAATCCGAAAGTAGAAGAGGAAGTCCAGGGATGTCTGAGCTGAGGAGGGCCAAGGCAATCAGAGACCTTCCTGCGATGAATGTGACTGCTAGTGTTCTCCGAGCTCTGCAGGCTTCCCTTCCCTTCCCAGGAATATCTCCCTCCTTACCTTGCCCTCTCACCTGGGGCGCATCCTCAGCTGTGACCCAGATCGCCCAGGTCCCTGTCTGTGGGGGGTCATTCATGGTAACCATGCAGAGCCCAAAGCGGCGCGTGTGACCTAGAGGCCCCTCGCCTTCCTCCTGGCCCTGGGAGACCCCTGATGGGAGTGGAGGACGATTCCCGTCCTTTAATACGTCACCCTTCATTCTCCTCCCTTCTTCCCCCTGCCTCGAGACACACACGGGGAAGTACCTGCAGGGTTCCTGATCTAGAAGCTGCTGACCTCCCTGTGGATCTGAACTGTGACCCTCTGGAGCAGCACTTCCACACTGAACACAAGTGGCCTCCCAGACACCACAACAGGAGGTTCCAGGGGAAGGGTAACCTTGAAGGATGAGCAGAAGCACAAAGTGGGGGAGAAGATAAGGCAGTGAATGGGGGAGGAGCAAAGGCAGGAGAAGGGTGGAGACAGAAGGAAACTAAGTCACATGTGGAGAAGGGAGGCCAGTGAGAGGGGCAGAGGACCAGGGAGGGAGTTACGGTCAACCACAAAGTGGAGGCAAGGGATTGAGGGTGAGGCCATCACTTCTTGTCCCTCCTTCAAGGATGGCAGGACTTCCTGTGGTAGCCCTGAGGACAGACTACTTGGAGGCCAAGGCTAGGGGACAGGGGCAGTACCCACAGGGAAGGAGCAATGTGGAAGGTGGGTAGCCATGGATCTCAGAGGGAGAGAAACTTCCTTTCCCACCCTTCTGACTGCAGTGGCAACACGGCCGTGTTAAACCATTACCCTACGAGAAAGAAAAAGGCCGTGTCGTCACCCACACCCTTAGTTCTCAGCTGAAAACATTAGTCCTTCTGGGCGCCCACACTTACGCACCAGGTCATCCATGCTGTCCCCAACAATGGCGGCCACATCCTGAAGGTGCTGGTCTTTGGTGAAGATGACCTCTCCTCCTGAGGCCAGGGCCACTGCTTCACATGGCTCAAAATGCAGAGGGGACAAGACCTCACGCCGAGCTCGGCCCTGAACCCTCAGTGGGTCTTCAGTCACTAGGAATGTCACCTGTACCCAGAAGAGAGGCCAGTTCTTGAGTACTCCCAGTGCCGTCCACCACTGTGAACGGGGGTCTCCTGTGCCCAGGCGCTCTACAGAGCTGATGACCAGTGGCAAGTTCCCTGTCTGCCCTCTGACTGCCACTGCAGGGTCTCCCAGTGACACAACCCCTAGGCCTTCACTTAGTAGTTGCCACTCCCTTGTAACTGTCACCATATGTCACCCACATGGTGGATTGTTGGCAACTAGATCTCCAGTTCTTCAAGTGGTTTGTTGGCGACACGTTCAAATACGAATTCTGCATCAAATAAGGGATCCAGAAACGTTACACTCATTGTCTGCTTCTCCCACCCCACGCCAAGGCTGGTGCAGCCACAAGAGTGTGGGGTGAGGCTCGTTAGGAGGTTGTCGCCATAGGGTTCCCCGCATCCCTGGGTGGCTACATCGGGTCTCCCATCAGCTGTGCTCACTCTGCAGCGCCACTCCTGAGTCAAAGATTCCACCCGGCTGGCGAGCATGGCGTCCTTGGGGGGGGCGTCCGCGAAGACAAAGATGTCTGAGAGTGGAGGGGTGTGCAGCAGAGCCGGCTGGCAGAGAAGGGGAGCGCTGGTATTAAAAATGGCAGCGGCGGGGGAATGTAGAACCAGGGAGGACAGAACTGAAGGAAATAGGACCCTGGAACCCTGGAGGGAAGCTAGGGGGACTAAGCTCTGAGGGTGCGGTGGGAGGTGGAGGTCCCAGGAAGGCTCTAGTTCCCCTTGGTGGTGGGACCTGGAAAGGGGAGGGAGAAGAAGGGAGGGGGAGGGCAGACCTCCAGGGCTGACAGGCACATCTCAGGCTCCTCTCCACCCCCCCAAGGCATGGATCTCAGTGAGTTGTTGCCAGAAGCTGTCAGGGTCACTGGTGGTAAAGACAGGGCCAAACCCTGGGGAGGCAGAAGGGAGGTTGAGGTGAGTGAGGAGAGGGATCCCCTATCCCTACCCAGGACCACCTCCCCAGTCAAGAGGCCTGCCGTGCTCCAGGGGCAAACAAGTATGGAAATAACAACATTCCCTTATATTTATATGTGCGGGGCAGGGCAAGGGCTAGTTACCTTGCGGGGAAGTGGACCT